AACACCTGACCTTGAGGTTTTGGTTCCGCTACAGAGAGCTGGCCTTCCACCTACCTCTCCTATTACTGAAATGCAGCAACATTTCTTTACAAATTGCACTGCACCTAACGTCGTCCCCAAGCGTTCTCGTCACACACTCCGTTCAACATATGTCCGCATTACGACTCCATCAGAATACATCTTTGGGCTCCGGGACTTATCCGCTCGTAGTGTAGCATTTCCGTCCTCAGCGATTACTTGGACTTACGTCTCGTCTGTCATCTTAGAGTCCGGCAACCCCTTAGACTTTTACAGTTAAAACACCACAGAATAATCAGAATACACATTGTGCAGATTTAGCGATATCACACCCTAGTGACAACCAAGGCTTGGCAACGGCTCCTATATTCTCCCCTTCATTACTCGCAGGCATATCTGTATAATGTTTACATCGCCCGCGACCCAATCATTCACTTCCATCAATTTTGACTGCAACATATCGTCTACCCGCGTATTCGTTGGTCCTGAATACGCGGAAGAACAGTGTGTTCAAACCTCTTGCTTTCCATATACTTCGCTTCTTATGTGCTTCCTACACAGCAGTGGTCTCTATGGTTCGTCTACTTACGTAAGTTAACATCCATTTTTCACTATATACGCCCGAGCTTTGAGTTGTTTGCACCTGATGTGGCACGGCCTGTACACTTGGACGGCAGTGCTCTACAAAAATTCTCTTAGTGTCTCATGATGATGGCAGTGGGGTTACTAATCATCCATTTGGCCGGACTGGCCTGCTCCTTTGTCCATTGTTGGCAATGTTTTATTCCCGTCTGTTGATTCCTGAACTTCATAAAACTACAGTAATTGTACTCATCGACGCAAAGAAAACTAGTCCACAACTTACGTGGACATCACATCCGACGCGTATGAATTCATGCCTAAACAGACACGATCTAAATGCAGTGGATTTCGGAGGTAGAGAAAAGCTCTTATGGCTAAGTTCTCATTTTTTGGAACCACATGAAATTGGCGCAGGTTTAGCTCGTTACGATGAGATAGATAGCGACAGCACAACGGAAGCAATGCTAAGGGGTCCTGTCTGTCGCGTGCTATGAAAAATGTAAATCGCTAAAAATGGGAAACAATAGCAATGGATCAAAGAGGAAGCACCACATTGGTCCGGCAAGTCGGAACTATAACTTTAAAATACTGCTGAGTACCCAGGGGCTTGGACAGTTCATTCTATGGTTAGGAACACGGAATCACGTGTGAAGAAGATGGGATGAGAAATCCACATTACAGTTAAATGATAACTTGAATCACATAATCAAGTTGTACAGTTAAACTGTAGAAGTTCGTTGGTGTCGGCGGGGCTACGGTTATGGGTGCAAAAGTTCCTCGTGAAACTGAGTCGGCGCTGGCAAAATGGACTACGCCAAGCGTAAGAAAACAACAGATCTTGTGTGGAGGAAATTTCAAGTTCACAGAGATGATTAGATCTGAGGGAAGTTTTGGGTGTATCCAGACAATCCCACCTTCGATGCAGTCAAAGGCAGGCCGCTTGAAACCAGGATTCCAATAATGCAAGAGGGGGCAATACATATGGGGAAAGTAGCTGCGGGTTTGACATCAGACTAGATATGGCAATATCTGTGATGTTGTTGCACTTTTGAAGGCAAACCATGCACACACTCATCGTGGCTGTTTGAAAGAGTAGGTTAGTATCACCATATTTTAATCTCGTCTGTGAGAAACCGGTAATACGTGCGTAGAGTATGGCAACCTGGCAGCTGATCGGTAGATGGATGTGGTGGGTGCTAAAACAGGTGATGATAGGTAATGAAGCACAGCAAACCTTGTCACTTACTTTAGGAGTAGAATGAAGCACTAGATGCTTGAGGCACGAAGGGCCGTTCCTCACGGGTGCCGGCAAAGCACCCTGAAAGAACGTCCGTAGACACAAGCATCCCTGTCCGTTCATCCATATTTTATGTGAAATCTTGTGACGTGCTCGAAAAAATACAAAATAGTTACCCGGTTTCGCTCACTCTCATCAGGTGAAGTCAGGTCAGAGAGAACAGACAAGTCAGCAAACCGCAATCGAGAGCTGTCTTATTAGTATGAAGGTCTGTAAGTCGATTATCATTATCTCATCGCCGGGCAAGACTATTAGGCCCACAGACATCTAGTCCACGACAGCTAACGTCCTTCTCAATCCGTCGTCCTCTCGAGGAACGTACCAGGGGAGAAAGTGTATCTGTGAACTGTTGCTGCTGAATCGAAGCCCAGCAGATAAGACATAAGGGTAACCGGATGGGGCCTACTGACCTTGCGCGGCTCAAGGCACAGGCACCGCTGGTGGAGCTGAAGACTTTACGACACCTATGCAGAACAATAATAAGCTCCATATATTGAATGGGTTCAGGGTTGGCCAACGAGATTTCCTCCGACTCGGAGATTCCAGAGACCCTAACGAGGCTTAACGGCGCTCAAATTCGACTGGGCGAAGAAAGCTCGGTTATGATCTTACAGATACCATGGAGATAACCCACGTCTTGTCTGGAAAGTGGGCTAGAAACTAACTGGAGAGAAATTCTGATACAAGTTAAATGGCTGCCATCTGAAGTTGTGTAAGAAAGCGATTTATTAATTAGAGACAACCAACTTCCCAATGGCGAATTCGGTCGCTTAAGTACGCAGGACGCAAAGCCATCTATTTTTCACGAACTTTTAAGAAAAAATTGATACGCGTTTCCATATGGCCTGCAACAACTTGATGTGGTGGCATCTGCCCACCGGCTCCTCGTAAAATCTGACATCTTGACTCTAGGTTTGTTAACAAATCGGTGTGCTTTAATCTCGAGAGGCTTACACAATATATATCATTACTCTTCGTTCAGTAGGGAGGCTGCACTGACCAAAGATGAGTGGCCGAAAAACCTTGTTTGCAGCGCTGGCCCATCTGGAGTGCCGAGGGGGTCATCGTCAACCGAGAGCATTCGCTTGAGTTCCGTAACCTAAAAACTACATTCACGATGATCAACGGGCCGCTAAAAAGTCTCGTAGGGTATTTTGATGTGGCGGCCTACAGAAAACTTCGTGCTTACGTGTCAAAGAAGGAAGACAAACGTGTGCCTCGACATCTGGGCCAAACAAATTACTTAAATTGGGGTGGCGGCGATTTAGCGTCCCGCGCATGAACATGCTCGGCAAGTTTGACCTTCAAAACTGGCGGCGCCTACAAAGGTGGTGATTCAGCATGCGGCTCAAGGCATACGACAAAACCCTGCTTTTCGTTCGTCCGTTTCGGAGCTGTCATTAAGTGCGGTATTTTCAAAAAGTCCTGCTACAACAATGTTATCTGAGAGTTTCAGTAAGTAAGGCGTGCAAGACATCTCTAAAAAGTGTGCTTAGGCGTAGTTCGTGAACAAAAGGGGTATAGAATTCCTAATCTTCCCCGGAAAGTGACACGTTTATATTCATTTCTTTAACGTGGTGCTTACTTGGAAAGCTCTGGGAGACAATCCCTCGTAATTAACTCATTAGATTACTTAATATTCTTACAGAAACTAGCAAACACGTTTCCCTGGTCGAAGGACGTAGCATTCATCCACACAGCCTCAGTCACCTCGGTGTTGCATAAGCGACTACACCTAGATGACTCCACCCAAATTTTTACCTTAATTCATGTTCCCATAGAGGTTAAAATGACTAATATCCATCCAGTGGATGTGATGCATCGAGGCCTTACAAAATTGTTCATCTTGCGGTTTTTACATGCACGTGTTTTGGACCAATCAGTGCTTAGTATGCCCGGCCCCCGTTTTTCGTACCTGGCGGGACGCGGAGACCGTCAGCATGTCCGAAAGATACAGTTTTTCCCTGACGACTTTTAGGTAACTGTAGATTTCGATTAATCGGCTTTCAGCCCCTCGGGAAAATTGGTTCAGATCGAGTATGCGCTTAAAGCTGTTGAGGCAGGTGCTCCATCTGTGGGGATTCGCGCGACAAATGGTGTCGTGTTAGCTGTTGAGAAGAAGTTCACCTCAAAGTTGATTGACGAGAGTACTATCCACAAGATTGAAAACGTGAGCAAAAACATCGGCATGGTCTACAGTGGGCTTTCACCGGATTATCGTGTTTTGGTGAAGCAAGCTAGAAAATCGGCCCAAGCCTACGAGATGGCTTATGGAGATACGATATCCCCGGAGCAGCTGGTTGTCAGGACAGCAGCCGTTATGCAGGAATATACGCAATCAGGGTGAGCCGCTTTTCCCCTTGATGCTTGAATTATATGTTGATAAAGTTGTTTGAGTGATTGCAGAATTTTTAGGCCCAAAATTCTTTGATTTCGTTGGGTGGAGCAGATGGGTATACGAGTGTTTGTGGAGTCCAAGGCTTCTCTTGTACATCCCGTTTGTTGGCGCAGAAATCATATATGAAATTTGTGAGTTTTGTGGCTTGCAGTGAAGGACAACTAGCCTTTAGGGCTTAGGTTCCTGCGTAATCTTCCGCATGTAGTGGCGATAGTTTGTTTTTCTCTGGTGAAGTCTGATACGCATCTGAAGGGGAGTTGAAGGTCATAGAGAATTCGGAGAACAGGGACAAAGTCATCGCCCAGGCCCCTGTTTACAGTTCAGTGGTGGATTATAGGCTTTCTTGTCCAGCCTGGTGCCTCCCTTGTTCCGGCCTCAGCAGTTTACAGTGGTGCTTCAGCTATTGACCTGAAGTGGTCTCCCTCTTGTTGAATTATTCCTTCAAACGACTTCTCCTAATTTGCTCAGGACGTCTGCACTCACTAGATCACTCGTTTGTTTATTCCACATCAGTTGCTATCTCGGGTGGGAGTTGTGCAAGTACCTGTTAGTACATAGTATTTTCTTGAGTAATTCCACGAAGAACAAACTGAGCTTAGATTTGGGCGAATTTGGGCATAGATCCTGGTGCCAGGATGGTGGGAGATGAACATAGGCTGCGTTGGCGTTGGATGTTGATGCAACTGAAGTTGATTGAATATCTTGCGCTTTATGATCCAACATGGTATGTCATTTGCCGGCGTCACCAGTTGTTAGTGCTCTACTTGTAACCAAACCAACTTAATAATCAGGTTACAAGCACGAGCAAAATCCACGTTTTCAACGCAAATAAGGTATCAGGATGAAGTAGTTCAAAGACGGCGACTTGCCTTTCGGGTACAAGTTATAATAATTCATCAAATTCATTCGAACGCAGGTGTGGCGTTTCCTATACACTTTTGGCCGGTACATACTTCCTGGCTTGTCTGTGGCCTGTGTGACGGAGTAGTTCCGGGCTTCAACAGAGTCACTTGGCGTATGTGTATTGACCGTGTCCTGTCTTCCCATACGTGGGAGGTTTGGGGTGTGTGAAATCACATAGGGTCGTTCCGACTCGCACCAGACAAGAGCTGACGTGTTGTCGGTCAAGGGTATAGGCGAGGTGGGATTCTGTCGCGTTACTCGTGTGTTTGTGTCTAACCGGTCCTTTGGGGGGGAAGCAGAATCTCTGCTTCCCTATATATAAACATGCATGTCACCTGGAGGAAACGCCTCACTATCTTTCCAGTCCTGTCGCAGAGGGCAGTATGACTACCTCCAGACCGCCTCGTACTACGATCACCTGCTATTCTTCGCTAGGACACTCCCCTTTGGGCTTCCTGGCATGTTTTAACCTTTGGAAACTGAGTTCCAGCCGGTATAGGCTGCAGGATCATTGCAGCACAGAAGGCCAACCACCGCGACAAGGCGACAGCTTTAGGTCGGGTGTGGGTCGTCTTTACTTGTGGCGTTGCTCTAACACCTGACCGAGTGTGAAGATGTGGTCAACGCATCCTCTACCCGGTCAAAGTCCTGTTTGCTCCTCGTGAGTCAAGGTTTCTCGTGCCGTCTCAAGATGACGAAGAATCAATGACGCCAGGAAGTTTGTCACAACAGGAATCAAACCAGCACCTCTGTGGTTACCACACTCACCTCGAGTACCCTTTTTGAAAATGGACGCTACTGTCGACTCACGGATTTTGAGCTAGGGAATTCTCGATGCACCAGTGAAATTGATAAATGCTGTATGCCGGCTCGAGGATAAGATGTCGTTTGTCTTTTCAATTTCCGAACATGCTGTTGGGTAGGACGTGTTGCGGTCAGTGATGGACTGATCATCCTGTGCCAGAAAGCCATGCGCAAGCAAGCTTTAGTCTATAAAATATTTACTAACTCACTTAGCCACTTGCCACCTTTATTGGTGGTTATCCGAAGGTAGTAGAAGTCAACCACTCAACGTTGGAATAACGAAAAACCAACATTTTTTCTATCGAACTAGCTGTACCAATGCTGCCTCCATCGAGTTTCCTTTTTTATGTTTTCTTTTCACACAGTTCATGAGATCAGGCATTGTGAATTCGAGAGGCGAGGTCTGATTTGGCAATTTTGATGGTATACTGCAACTTGTCATCTTAAAACTGTAGTTTCTTTGTGAAAGGATATTTCGCAACGCAGCTTTATATCTTGGCTCTATGCGAAGTCGTCAGACTTTTTCCCACACGTGGACGATTCTGCCTTCGTCTATCTGGAATGCTTAGCCCAATGAAAAATATTCGTTTGTAAAACCGTCTGCTTTACTTTACTTAAGTTGGCGACCCCTTTGTGGTCTCTAAGCCATCAGGTTGTTTTCCTCCTTCCCCAGCACCTCGTTACCACACTCACCTCGAGTACCCTTTTTGAAAATGGACGCTACTGTCGACTCACGGATTTTGAGCTAGGGAATTCTCGATGCACCAGTGAAATTGATAAATGCTGTATGCCGGCTCGAGGATAAGATGTCGTTTGTCTTTTCAATTTCCGAACATGCTGTTGGGTAGGACGTGTTGCGGTCAGTGATGGACTGATCATCCTGTGCCAGAAAGCCATGCGCAAGCAAGCTTTAGTCTATAAAATATTTACTAACTCACTTAGCCACTTGCCACCTTTATTGGTGGTTATCCGAAGGTAGTAGAAGTCAACCACTCAACGTTGGAATAACGAAAAACCAACATTTTTTCTATCGAACTAGCTGTACCAATGCTGCCTCCATCGAGTTTCCTTTTTTATGTTTTCTTTTCACACAGTTCATGAGATCAGGCATTGTGAATTCGAGAGGCGAGGTCTGATTTGGCAATTTTGATGGTATACTGCAACTTGTCATCTTAAAACTGTAGTTTCTTTGTGAAAGGATATTTCGCAACGCAGCTTTATATCTTGGCTCTATGCGAAGTCGTTAGACTTTTTCCCACACGTGGACGATTCTGCCTTCGTCTATCTGGAATGCTTAGCCCAATGAAAAATATTCGTTTGTAAAACCGTCTGCTTTACTTTACTTAAGTTGGCGACCCCTTTGTGGTCTCTAAGCCATCAGGTTGTTTTCCTCCTTCCTCGTACTTTCCAGCGGCGTACGTCCTTTCGGGGTCTCACTTTTGATCGCCGGGTGGGATTATGAAGCCAAACGACCCTACCTCTATCAGTGTGATCCATCAGTAAGCTACTTACTATTCAGTTTTGCTGCCTTACAACAATTATTTTGCTTGTGAATTTCGACGTAGCTTTATTGGGTAATTAATTCCATCGATCAGTGCGATCAGTGGCCCCCCATGCACTATGGTTGCCATAGTTATGAGAATTCCTACGAAGTCCAATGTATAACTCGTCTACAATGAACCCAACACACTTGCAACTCAACTTGATATAGAATAAATCTGGTGTTCTTATTATAATAGATAGTCGTTCAGCTGTAGCACCTTTCCGGTGTCTAGTTACCATGCCACCCGAAGGAAGCATGATGGCCGGGATACTGCCAGGTTGCCCAAGCCCAGACAGGGGAAGTTGAAGGGCAGAGGTCGGGTTTGAACCACGAACTTTCCGGTCAAGTAAATTCGGTTCTGACCACCGAGCCATCTCGCCCTTTTTGCGTCCCTATGTTTCATTACGCACAGGTGGACTCCTATTAAGTCGGCACATGGTATTGGAAAAACTCCGAAATGAATTTCAAATAGGATTTTGAAGACTCGGAGACTGTACAGAGCAGCAGGTGGTTTCGAAGACGGGCTTGTCTTGAGAAAAAGGGTCCCGAGAAGTGTTGGGTTTCACGGCTTGTGATTAAAATGTGGCAAGGGCTGCTGGATGCGAAAGGAAGTGTTGCACACCCAATGATCTAAGGAAGAGGAGCAGAAGAAGCTAGCTCTGGTAAACATCTATAGTTAGTTGTTGGTTTTTCCTTGAAAGTGAACACTTTGGTTGCGAACAAATTAACGGTCATCTGCACCACGTGAGCTAACATTCTCCTCAAGATGAACCTCCGTATAATAGTAACGGTGAATTAGGTCGAGAATCATTTCGACAGTGAGGAATTGTTTACAAGTTACCAATCAGGTACGAGGCACAGCTGAGGTTGCCCAGTATGATGATAGCACTCTGAACTACAGCGAATCCGCGATTTATGAGGGGGAAGACAGTTTTGCTCGTAACGGCGGAATAGTCTTTCGAGGTGACCGATTCGCCAGAATTTTTACGGTTGAAGAGCAGGGCGGGATATGGAAAAGCATCATACGGATATCGGTTAATGGGGATTGAAAGCAATCAAGTGTTTTTGAATGACAAGTGGATAGGAGCAACTGTGGACAGCATTCAGAAAACCGTTTTCACCTATGTTGTGAACGTTGAGATTCAGTACTTACTGGCGTTTCTACGGTCGACCACAATGAAATGAAACGCAATACTGGAAACATCGACGTAACGGGTGGTGAAATTGGATGAGATAAATACAGACGTGAGAGTTTATAGTGCTGCTTTTCTTGGTCTGTGAGGCGACGCCGCGTATTCGTACTTAGGGTGGTTATATAGGAAAGCTCTAATCCCGTTAATCAGGTCTGGGTGATGACCCTTCAGGCAAAGTTCGACAGAAAGAAAAGTATGTCACTTGGTTGAATACCTTTGGCATATCAAATGAACCCACTTTTTCAAAGGAGTCAAGAGAGAAGTAGCAGGCATGCTATCCTTGGTACGACCAAAGCCGTATGGGTCATTGAAAGGACGTTCTACTCGACATTGAGGGATTATTTGGACCATATCGATTCAAGGATTCTTGACATAATAGGTCAGTGCAGGGGTCCCTGTGTTATTGGGATCAGGGAGAGGGGAACACGTTCATGGTGTCTTTCCTAGATAGACCCAGACAAAGAAGTCCCGGAATTACTGAGCAGGTTCGGGAACTATTTGAGGTACGCCATGTGATTTGGAATCAACAAACATTCTTTGTAGTATCAGGCAAGGGAAAACAAGTTGGAGAGCCCGGTGCAACTTTGGGGTCAGGAAGTTGAATACACACAATGAACGAGAATCCTTAAATTTCCTATGAGGGGCGGGATGACTCAGTGGTTGGATCGGGACTTGACTGACCAGAAGGTTCTTGGTTCGAACCCGACCTCTACCTCTCGACTTCCCTTGCCTAAGCTAAGGCAACCTGTCAGTATCCCAGCCCTCGTTCTTCCTTCTGGTGGCATGGCAGCTAGGTACCTAAAAGGTGTTACGGCTGAACTTTTTCTATGAGGGGCTTTTGTTCAAATCTTTCAGTAACACTTGATATTCGTCCGCGTTTCTAGGCGGCCTGTTTATTTTTCTACTGTGCTCTCCGATTCTGGTGTGAAGTTCCCTGGCTGTCTATCCTATATAGACCTTAGTGCAGTCATAACACTTAATTTGTAGATACAGTCTCTGGTTCCGTTTGCCGGAAGGCGATCCTTCTATTGCACCGTTGCAGAGCGCAGTGTTCCCCTTCTGGAAAGCTACTCTTATGTTGACCGTGTTTAGAATTCTTCGAATAACCTCCGATGTCCCTGCTTTATATGGAATAACAGCGGTCCCGATCCTGTTGGGTTTCACTACCGATACCAACACTCTTCGCAGTTGACGCCAAATCAAACTAGCTGGATATCCACCACCCCGAAGTTTGTTCTTTACTTCAATTTGGGCCGCTGTCCGATCAGCTTCTGTGCACGAAGCCCTTACACGCCTAAACATTGATGAGACAATACTGGCGAATACCGACTTCGGGTGGGCAGGGTAGTTCAAAACTGCCCCAGTGTTGGTTGGCTGCTCGTACACTGTAGTCTTTAGTTTGCCCCGGCCTTATATGTCATGCAGTCTAAAAAGGCTAGTTTACCTGAGGCTGACTTTATCTTCATACTAAATTTGATGCGTGGACTCAGTTCATTCAGATACCTGTATAACTCGCTAACTCTGTCTCGTTTCATCACACCGAGTGTCATCCACATAACGCCAGAATATCTTAGGTGGGTATGGGAATCCGCCTAGAGCTCTCTATTCAAATTCTTCCATAAATATATTTGCCAAAACCAAGGATATTAGAGATCTCATTGCTAGACCTTGTTCTTGCGTGTAGACCACTGAGTCAAAAACGAAATAAGTTAGATTCAGACTTGCTCTCATACCTTCCATTATTTCGTCTACCGTCCGTTCTGAAAGGGTGGTGTCCGCTAGTAGCAGCTGCTTGGCTATTTCTGGGATAGTTATTGCTTATTCTCCTAATGCAACCCTTTTTCCCCCTCAAAAAACAAACTCGTCTGTCAGACGGGTGATTTTTAGTGCGTTGCAAAGCAATTTACGATTTAAATTTGCCTAGTCTTTTTAGGGAAATGCATAACCTCACAACTTCGTTGTCCGCAACAATCATTATATCTCCAATATTCTTTCTTCGTATGTTGCAGGGCACTTATTTTCCTTGGAAAGCCACGGCCCTTGGACACAACTCTCAGAACGGCAAATCTTTTCTAGAAAAAAGGTGCGTATCTGGTTTCGATCGAAAGCCTAGTCAGTCCACCCGGATGCTACTGTCCTACGCTCTTATCCGTTGATTCGGCTCTCAGTTGTTACTCGAAAAATGCAACATTCTTCCCATGATCACGCCGTTTGATGATTTCCACAGCTGCCAACTGTGGTGGCCTTAGCACTTTGCCTGCTTCTCTTAAGCTTAGTGGTTAAGGCTTACTGACCCGAAGGTTCGTGGTTCGAACCAAACCCTGACATTCTGGACTGCTAAAGCCATTACCAGCAAGCTCAGCTGCGCTGGTCATTGCCGTCTTCCTGAATGGGAACCCAGAGACGGGCCATATCAATGGTTAGAGACATTGTCAGACATGGCTCAGTCGCGCGCTCATGCATCCAAGCTATTGCCCTCAATGTATAGCTCTCTTCCCAATCCCCCCGCTTAACAGTCCACCTACAGAGTTATATTCACGCACTAATTTATCAGCTCCCGCCTCCAATGCGCAGCTACCTACCTCACCTCCCCGAATCATCGGTGAACGAAACTGTGGCAGCTACAACCACTGTGCGACAAGTACGCGGTTCTTACAGCTGACAGTAATGATGATTCTCGACTGCTCTCGTCTAGGCTCGGGTAACCTTGCAGTATCTTAGCCCTCATGCTTCCTTCGGGTAGCGTGACAGCTGGGCACCGAAAGGGTGTTACAGTTGGACGATTATTATTAGTTATCCTCCTGTGGTCGCTGCAACTCTGGGGTCGCACATAGTTCAATAACATGGCATCATCATCATCATTCACAACATGATATCAGTGTTCAACCATGATGCTTCGCTGCCTCAGTTTCTCCAAAGTTACGCTCCGTTCTTGACTTGCAGGTACAACAAAGACCTTGAACTAGACGATGCAGTGCATGCCGCCATTCTTACATTGAAGGAGAGCTTTGAGGGTCAAATGACAGAGAATAATATCGAGATTGGGATATGCAACGAACGCGGTTTCCGAGTTCTTACTCCGAGTGAAGTCAAAGACTACTTGGCTGCAATCCAGTAAAAATCACATCTTTCCTCCGATCCGGACCCTTTCTGGTTCACAAAAACACTTTTCGAATACAGTTTGAACAGTTTTGCTTTTTTCTTCTATATATTTTTCACCAGGGGGATTGCGAACGAACGCATACGTACACAAGGTAGTTTAGTTATTCTGCGACCAAACTTTCGTTCTACGCTTTATCTCCGGTATTAGGACAGCAAGCGTAGCGAACTGACTTTTAAATGCACCGGCAGAGGTTGCTTTTTGGGCCACAGCGAAAGTCTGGTAGACATAGAAACAAGAACACATCTGACTTACGGTAGAAGTCGCTCATTAAAATCCGAGGTACCAAACCCACTGTCAGTTTTTATTTGTCTTTCCCTGTGAGTAGATTGTCAGTAGTTGTGGGATTTCTATGGTTGCCAACCAAAGTTTTCCAGTAATAATGTCTGATCAGAAGCACGCCTCCCAAGTGGAATCTTACTAGCTCAATTCGTATAGGTGGTTAGTCAGCTGATCTGAGTAGTCCCATTACCTAGTTGGTGTAACAGCGTAGACACACTGGCCACGCATATCAAAGATCTGCAGTCCAAACCCTGGTGCGGCTAGTGATACGTTGCTTGGTTGTAATAGGAGCAGGAAATTTCCGACCCACTGTTTCCAGCACTCCTTGGGGACAAACGCGTCAGGACAGCAGAGCTGTGCAAATAAGGTTGATCAGAATGGAACCACAGTTCATCCGTCCACAAATGAATTGACAGTCTCTCTCTCTGTTCCAGTGGATCCTGAGAACTGATTCCAATTAATTCGTCGTTGTTGTCAGCTATCGAGATGACTTGCTTTGAAGGATTGGCTGAATCGCTGCGTTTCATTTACCCGAGGATACTGCCGAACAGATCCAGCTAGCAATGTGGTCATTACAGTTTCCGAAACCGGAAAGCGTGGTCTTAGGCTGAAAGTGGTCTCAATCAGTAGCCGCCTGTGCATAGACTAAATACTCCGAGCAGAAAATTCCCATTCACAACCCAGTGTGATACTAAAAAATTGTACAACGTGCAATACTGAACATTTGATTTTTGACAAAAATCCTGATAAGTAGTAATAGTTGAGCTGTGACACCCTTTCACTGCCTAGCTGTCATGCCATCTGAAGAAAGCATGAGGGCTGGGCTACTGATAAGTTTCATGATCATAGACAGGTGCTGAGGTTGGGTTCGAACGACGGAACTGCCGGTTATTAAGTTCCCGCCTCAACCACAGCCATATCGAGCTCCCAGAAGCTGTTATGTTTAGACATCTTGGGTTGATGAGGTTTGTCTCTTCCTAGGTTGTAGACTCTGGTCAGGGTTGTTGCGTCAACTCTCCCACAACGCCGAGTCGATACTACGGCGGTAACCAAGACTTAAAACCCGAGAGCTTCTGCACATTTCCTCCGAATCTTGGTGATGAACAGAACGCACCTAACCATTAATATCCTCCTATTCGGTTGATGTGGTTGTCTTTTTGACACCCGAAGTCGCTGGATGCAGCAGTGGAGTTGGTCAGTGTGTTTGAAGTCCTGAAGTTGGTTGTCCCGCTGCTTGGGGGCGGACGAATGTTGTTCTCATACCGAGCAGGACAGGTGGATAGAGTTTGTAGTATGAGGTTTGGGTGCTTTGAACTGGAGACGTATACTGGGAGTTATTGTTCCATTGCGCACTCACTGGGGGTGGGCTTGTTAGCCAGTCTGTATACGATGCACGCGTGACAGCACAAGGAGAATTCGTGAGCCTCACAATTACACGAGTTGCCACTAAGGTTAGTTGAATGAGTGTTGGTGTATTTGCCCGTGGCTCAGGAATAGCTGACTTATGTTTTCGGGTGATGAAAACACATGGAATGTTTTTGAGAAATGGTTGAATTGGTGCCTTGGGGACTGGCTGTCTTGTTCCTCATTCACAGTGGAAGCTGAATTGCTGAGAGGTATCGACGTAGAACACATTCCGCACATACCAAGGCAGTTCACTATCGCAATAATCGCGTTCCCGGTGAATTTTTCATACTTATAGAGTATCATCGATCTCCCATCCTGTCTCAGTGACATCTCCGTCCAAATCCGAACCCGTTGACCGTGTGATGAAATGTGGGTCAACGGTCAAGTAACCGATTCCCGAGACTTTCGATTTATCGATATTACTATTCGGTGAGACGGGGACGCCGCCATCGGTTCGAGAAGTAGAAATGAAAGGATCCAGAAACCGATAGAGATGCCAGTTCAAAAGATCGCCCCACCAGTGTGAGGTTTATTAACTCCAGTTCACGGTAATCGTTACGTTTCATTCGCTGGTCCTTTCCAGTGAGATAATTAAAAATCTGACCGTCTTGCCAATCGAAGTTACATCTGGGACAGTTGTCCTTCCGTGTTCACTCCATCAGAAATGATGAACTCGACAACGTTTCGCATGTACATTCGAACAACTTATCCACGTCTTCCTTCGGCAAAAATCCACAGGAATAAATTTTCAGGGAACGTGGAGCTCCTGAATCTATTGGCTGTTCGCGAGGGGTCACGAACCCACCAGTCCAGGGCAGCTTTAACCAAACTCCAACACCTACGACGCCGACCTGATGCCAGTTTGTCTACCTTACACCGAGGTGGTGTGATCCATACTGTTTCATGGATCAGAGGCTAGGCCCCTACGCGCAGAGGACATACGAAAGATGTCAGCGTTTGATCATCGGTGTCCCCGAAGCATTGGTCAGGTCTGGTGGGTACATCGAATCAGTGATGCTGAGGTACGCCGGATAGGCTTAGGAACTCTCCCGCAACAGATGAATTGCACGCGCTTCATGGGCTATGTTGGTTGGGGCATATACTCCGCATGCCAGAATACCGTCTGCTTAACAGAGCTCCTTTCGCTCAGCCGTGTGCTAAGTGGAAGCGACCGAGAGGTGGACAGTGACCTGGCAACGAAGTACGAAAACACTAACCGGTAAACTCAGTTAGGTCGGAAACTGCCGCCTCCCTGGATGGGGACCCCGGGACTCAGACCACCAATGGTTAATGACAGTGGCAGAAATGGCCTAATCACGCATTCAGTGACTCTCGTTCGTCAAAGCTATCACCTTCGATGTGTAGCTATCCAATTTCCGAACAAAATGAACACGACTTCGCCTTCAAGGCTCGGTTGTACGCTCCACATTCCCGTTTTCCGTGATCGAAACTGTAGCAGCTGAAACCAATGTGCCTATGGCACATGGTTTATAGCTAGATAAATTGAAATTAAGATGGCACCAAGTCCCTCCTCCTTCCACCTTTATTCTTTCCTTCACAATGAGGCTTCCAAATAAATCATGGTTGTACGCCAGTGAAGCGTCGGTGTGGAACACTGATGTCATGCTGTCGACCATGATGATGACCACGTATAGTGCGTAACAGCAAGAAAACATGCAGCAATATGATGACTTCATGTGGCGTATTCAGGTGAATAATGCTAAAAACGAGAGATTTAGGTACGATTCAACTCGATTTACAAACCGAAGTTATCCTTGATCGGTGAGCGTGAGTACCGCGTGCAACGCGGTAGTTTGCCTATCTACAGGTCGGTTTGTACGTTTGCCACCAGCAGCTTCACCAATGATAATGCTGATTAGTATGAATCCATAGAAGTTTCAAACGGATTATTTGCGAACCTGAGTTCTCCTCCGGAGACAACTACAGCATTTTGGACCTACGGAACAGTGCACTTAGGATTGTTACCAAGCCAGGTTACCAAATGCACGTCTCAATTGTAGCTACATATGTTACTCAGCGATCCACCCAACATAGGACCACCTGATGCGAATTTTGTGTTTAAAGGTTGAGTGGCGTTGTCCTATCCGATTGCTACTTAATCAATGTTGTTCTGATTCGTGTGGCCGTAAGGTCTGGCCTTCAACTGATAAGTGGAAAGTTGCTGTTTCAATTTCTCCCGGACATTCCTAAGATGCGCGTTGCGGATGATTCCGTCCTGACGCAGCTCTACAATTCTATCTAGGCCTTTCGGCATACAGTGGATTCACCTAAACGACAAAATCCCTTTTGAAATTTCCAAACCTTCCGTAGAACCACTGTACCACAAAACATTTATGATACCTGATTGCACCGGTGTCTTGCATGCATCTATTCACCAGAACTGAACAGGTCTGTCAACTGAGTGATCTTTTTGGTTTAAGGTTGATTGTGCGGTATTCGGTGATCTGTCGAACATGACAGCCGCTTGGCTGCACCTCACTTCTGGTCTCCAGACGGCGCATACTGTCCCTCAATACACGTCCGGCAATATATACAGACTGTAAAAGAGTCTCGAAGCTCAGAAGGTGCAGAACAGTGCAAAAGTGGTAGCTCCTTAAACACTAGATAGAAATTGAGCGTACTGGAAAATTCCTATGATTACTAAGTTCAGATATGCATCCGGCATGAAAGTCATGTAACTTTGATTTCAACGTTTGCACTTTCATTCCATCGAATAATAATCAGTTCCCTTACACAAGGAAAAATTGTTTATAAGACTACAATCTGATCGAAATAAAGTGCCAAAAAGCCCGCAGGTAGACAATTATAGCTGGTTTTTGTCTTTTAATGCCGTGGTTCAGTTAAGTTGTTGGTGCAGACTACCCAGTTTACGAAACAAACGGCCGTAGGACCAAATGAAGGGACAGACAAAAAACGCTAGCAACTGTCTATCCACCCGTCTACTGGGTGTCTTCGATGTCCGATGAGGTTGTGGGTACATAAGCGAAAGCTTTCTCCTTCCCTCACGGTGAGTGCTCCAGAAAAATCGTAAGCAAGGAAATAGTTAAAGCCTCGTTCGAACGCTCATTCCATAGTGATCTAACAGGCAAGTAAGCCACTGGTTGTTGGTCGGTTCGCCTACTTCGGCAGTTCGCTGACAATCAATAGTCAATCAGTCAATAGATATCAGATAAACTTTGAAAACCACACAAGCAACCAGATTAACAGGAACAACCCCCCGTCTACACACAAGCACCTGTTGAGATTGATTGGCGACGCCGAATAGGAAACGGGTTTGGAGGTCTACAATACTACCACGATACTTACACATATGTGAGCAAACCC